ACGCACGCACGCACACACACACACAAACATATATATATATATATATATATATATATATATATATATGTTTGTGTGTGTGTGTGCGTGCGTGCGTGCGTGCGCGCGTATATATATAGACGAATTGCGTGCTACGAACAACTGCATTCATGTTCTACGGTGCCAACTTTCTTATTGCATATATCATTATTATTACAGATAATTCTGATACCTCCTCGACTGAAGACCTACCCGGTGCTTGTCCGTCGTAAAAGAAACCTTTGATGAACAGTGTTTTTATCTAGGATGTAGACATTACCGGCAACACCATGCGATGCCACGTTGTCTTCAAATTTTCCGACAACATTTCCATAGTAGACGTATTCGCTCACTTTTGTAATAAAAACGAGCATGATTTAAAGGTTTTAATACTATAGTCGAAAGTGTAGGCTAGGTAGTGTGTGTGCGTGCGTGTGTGTGCGAGCGTGCGTGCGTGCGTGCGTGAGTGGGTGCGTGCGTGCGTGCGTGAGTGCGTGCGTGCGTGCGTGCGTGAGTGGGTGCGTGCGTGCGTGCGTGAGTGCGTGCGTGCGTGCGTGCGTGCGTGCATGCATGCGTGCGTGCGTGCGCGCGTGCGTACGTGCGTGCGTGTGTTAAATTGAAAATGATTGCGGTCAAAGACTCTGCGGCATCGGTTACAACATGGGAAACTTCCCCACTTGGGGAATATTGCTATTCGATGCCGGGGAAGATTGCAGTGCGAATCCCTTCCTCCCTCCCCACACATGAACCCACCTGGCTAATATTATATATATATATATATATATATATATATATATATATATATATACAAGAAACCATGAAAGTTATACGCAATAAATTAACGTACACTCGGCGGAGGATGCAAAGCGAAGCGAGAGGTGATGAATATCAAACAGGCGGGTCTAGATCGATGCGTGCAGGAATCATGTGCGATGCGCCCCGACCCGCAGGCCGCCCAGAAACCATCGCAGAGAATTCCTATATATACGTATACATATGTAGCAAGCTAATAGCAGCCGCTCGCACACACTAATACACTTGACCCTTAATTTAACGGACCGATAATGGCGTCCGATAACACCAAGAGGGCGTCATTTTCCAATTACGGTAGGGACGATATTTGCGCGGTTTATTTTCGAAATAAGGTAAAATAAATTAGCAAGGTCAACATTATTTATACATGATATAGTATCATACAGACGTAATATGATAAACATTGTAAATGGTTGTAAATTAAGCGGTTAAAATTAGAACGTCGCGGTTACAGCGCGAAGTAACGGGCCCGGACTATTATTCCCCGTGTAGACTGCTGCCACCTTCGACGCAGCAACAACTTTGTCCGGTCTTGTCCGTTGTTTCCATCACAATCCGTTGTACTCCAGTTATTTCCAGTGCAGACTAATGAATGTAAAATGCCGGATTTTGCCCATTGCTTCCGATATCGGCTAAAATAAGGTCCGCTAAAGCTAGGGTCAAGTATATCCCGCGTTACAGGCGAGATACCAGAGAATAACGTATTTCTAGAATTTTAAAATTCTAAATTTATAAAATTCCGTATAGCGAAATTCCGTGTCGTGGATTAATTCGTACTATAAGTGGAGATTGACAATTAAACCATTAAAATGTTTGCAATCCTCCTGTCTCCCCTAACACAAACATAATTTTAACACACAAGTTCAAATTGTCAAACACATATATTGATTACCTAATGGTTTAACACAGTAACATAATAATGTCTTGATGGAAAAGAAAATGTGAATAATTAACTAAAGTAATAATTTATAATTAAATAAAAATTAGTGTCATGAGTACATTAAACGCAGGGCACTAATTAATTACGGAAGCACGCAGATTCCATACAAACAACTAGGCGTTTCCCCCCGTGGCGAGAATTATCCTAGTGGTTCAGGGACGCGTTAAGCCAAGCGCAGACCTGCGATTTTTTCGTGCAACAAGACAGCGATTATAGAATCACTTTGATAAGTGCTGTAAAGTCGCTATACGTCTGCGGGAACGTGCAACTGCAACCCGTAGCGATTTTGGTCGCTTGCGACGAGTTGCAAGAAATCAAACTCGTTTGATTTTGACCGACTAGTCGCTCCCAATCGCTCTAGAAATCGCATGTGTGCGCACACGCGGTGACACATCGACCGATCGCTTGCGGTTACAGGTTGCAGCGCAAAAATTGCAGGTCTGCGCTAGGCGTTACAAGGCTAGTACGCCTGACTTGTTAGAAGTTGACTGCAATCAACTTTGCGTTCCATGTTATCCCAGGTTTAGTGGTCGTGATTTACAAATTCTGCATGAGCAAATTTAACCAGTGTATTCGTGACGCTGGGTGTGACTGTAATAGCAATTAATTACACGGAGTATCGAGTTCTAACGGTAAGATAATTGAACGCCTAACCTAACCTATATCATCGCTCTCAAGGACAACTCAATAACGTGGGCGCAGATATGTGAATGAATTTTTTTTCAATGTTTAATAAACTCAATCTATCGACGCATCGCTTGAAATAATGGCCGCAAATCGGCTTAATTTTCAGTTTTTATTTGAAGTTTTTAATTTTTAGTTGTAATTTTTAGTTTATATAATTTTATAACAAGGGATATGGATGTCGCCACCTACTTACCTACTATGTTACCTTATTAGCTACTAGGTTACCTACTTACCTACTATGTTACCTTATTAGCTACTTACCTACTAGGTTACCTTATTAGCTACTTACCTACTAGGTTACCTT